CAGCCCTGGCGAGGCCTCACCTGGAGCACTGGGTTCATTTCTGGGCTCCCCAGCACAAGAGAGACATGGAGCTGCTGGAGCGAGTCCAGCAGAGGGCCCTAAAGAAGACTGAAGGGACTGGAGCATCCCTCCTCTGAGGAAAGGCTGAGGGAGCTGGGCCTGTTCAGCCTGGAGAAGAGAAGGCTCAGGGGGGATCTGATCAATGTGTGTAAGTACCTGAAGGGGGAGCGTCAAGAGGATGGGGCCAGACTCTTCTCCGTGGTGCCCAGCGATAGGATGGGAGGCAACAGGCACAAACTGCAACACAGGAAGTTCCTTCTGTCTGAACATGAGGAAAAACTTCTTTACTCTGAGGGAGACAGAGCACTGGACCCAGGTTGCCCGGAGAGGTAGTGGAGTCTCCTTCCCTGGAGATATTCAAAACCCGTCTGGATGTGTTCCTGGGCAATATGCTCTAGAGGACCCTGCGTGAGCAGGGGGGTTGGACTAGATGATCTCCGGAGGTCCCTTCCAACCTCAACTGTTCTGTGATTCTGTGATGATCTGAGCTGGTAGATTTGGGGTGGGGGAGACCGTGGTGTACCGCATGATGAATAATATTGTCAACGTGGACTTTCGTTAAAATTTGTCTTTTTCATGTAGGATTCCATTAAAGACATTAAAAACTATACTCTGGTGGTCTATAAATGCTGTCTTTGCTATAAACTATCTTGGTGATGCACGTTATTGGCGTTTTTATCGTTACAGGTCTGAGCTCCCTTCTAGATAGAGCTGAAGAGAAAGAATTTTGAAGGCAGAAGCCCTAATGCTAGAGTTATATAGGTTTGGCTCACTCTAACGAGATGTGGAGGTACAGGTTGAGCCAGAAAAAAGTGTGCCTGCAGTTATATGAGGAAGGATGGCATAGTATTGTTTTGTGGTTCTTGTGACACATGCATTCAAGGGCAGCATTGATGACATAGTTTTCAGACGTTGTGGAGGAACTGGCTGAAGAAAGCCCAAGGACATACATCTTCAATTAATTTTTTTTTCCTTTCTTTTTTCCCCCTAGTAACTCTTTTTAGCTGTATTAAAAAAAAAAAAAAAGCATTAATAAAGGGATTGTTCCAAGGTAAAATAATTTGTCTTTAATAAAATGAGATTTGTTTCTCAAGCCAGTAAACACCTTCATTATTTCCTTATTCTTAGCGTTCTGTGACTGTGAAATAGATATGGTGAAACAATTAATAAGCATGTCAGACAAGCAGAAAACATACCTTAAATGTCTTATAGCAAATTTGTTATCCTAATACTGTATTTTTCTTTGCAGCATTGTTCTGTTAGATCTCTCACATGCTCTAGTTGCTCAGTTACTTTCCAGTAATTATCTTTCAGTCATTTAACTGATGAACTTAATGAACTTGGACGTGAGGGTTAAAACATTACTGTTTTTATTTTGCCTCCTTTTTGTCTAGCATTAATGCAGGGTTACTGAAAATCATCATGAAATTTAAAGAAAAGGATGTTAAGACTATACAGTTCTCAAGCTATGTGTTTGGGTAAAGTCAGTAGAATAAAAATAATTTTATTGTGTATATTTTTACTTTGTAATTTTATGACTTTATTTTCATTCATAGTCTCTCAAAGAGTGTTTTATAAATCCTCTTTAGTAATACGTATCTAATTCTAATGTTTTTTTTTTTTCTTCTTTAGGGTGTACCTCAGTTACCATGTGCCAAAGCATTGTATAACTACGAGGGAAAAGAACCTGGAGATCTTAAATTCAGTAAAGGAGACATCATCATTTTACGTCGACAGGTGGATGAAAATTGGTATCATGGAGAAGTCAATGGCATCCATGGCTTTTTTCCTACCAACTTTGTTCAGATTATTAAACCTTTACCTCAACCTCCGCCTCAGTGTAAAGCACTTTATGACTTTGAAGTAAAAGACAAGGAAGCAGATAAAGACTGCTTACCATTTTCAAAGGTAAAAACAAAGTAAAGATAGTATTTTGGTTTAATAATTATTCATTGACTTGGCTAAGAATTAGTAGGACTCATGTTCTGTAGTCTTGTCTGCATGTTTTTTTAATGGATCTGCACAAATGTGAAAAACAAGGGCAAGTAATTCTACAGGTATTTCTCCTATATATGCTAGTCTTACCTTTGTTCTCCTAAATTACATATAATTTCTTTCTGAAGTTTTATTTTTGAGAATGCATTTTTTTCATAATTATATTATTAAATGTTCTCAATTTATGAGAAATAAACTATTAAGAATTAAAAGTATTCCATCTTCTAGAGAAACACTGATTTTTAATTGTTGAAGCTGATACCATTTTTAATTTGCTTTTAATAAGTGACTTTTTAGGATTTGGTTGGTAGATACAAAGTACTAGTGAACTTTGTAATATTACTAATTGCCTTTTGGAAAATATTACGTTACTTCTTGCTTTGTTTCTGTTGTAACTTTCTCTCTTGCAAAGCACAAAATGAAATCAGGTTTTAATAGAAATCAGAGCTGGGTTTTTTTTTTTTTCCAGTTTCTGATAGCTTATCAGATTTCACAAAAATGTTACAAGAGGAAATGTAAACTAATCATGTTTCTGTTCTACCTTCAGCTATTAAAATGGAAAGGGTGGCTATAAAAGGATAAAGAGGCAAAAGGCTTTAAATCTGTTCATGAAATCAGTGCAAATGCATATGGACAGACAGTAATTTTTACTACACAGGACAGTAGCACTGTCAAGGATGATTGGTATTAGCTTGTGAATTTTGATTATATTGTTGGCAAACTGTATTTTTTTTTAATCTGCAGTCTTACTTGAATGGATATATGCTTACAAATTCTTTAACTTAAATATGAAATAATTGTCTATTTCAGTGTAGAGAGAGCAGTGTGTAGTGTGCTAGAAAAACCTTTTTATGTAACGTTCTCAAAACTATATTTGAAAAAGCTCAGAGTATATCTGAAAGTCATATCAGTTACTAGTGCTCTCACATGAGCAGGAAAACAACATCTAGGCAGGTTAGGGAATGAGTCACTTGAGAAGTAAAAAGATTGAGTTGTGTTGCTTAATGACTTAAAAGGGGGCTGACAGAAGACAATAAATTGGTTGTTGTGGGAAGTCTGTTACTAAGGTCAAACTCAAATGATGGAGATTAGTTGTGGATAGTTAGCCGAAATCCAACGAAACAGGGAAAGGAACTGTTGAAACCCACTTCCGTTTCAAAGGCTGCATGTTCGTGTTATGAAATGCCTTCTGTACCTGTTCTTTTCCATGTGCTGCCTTCCCTGATTACCCACGTGTTATGGAGGGAAATTGAATGAGAAGTTTAGTTGGAGGTGGGAGACATAATCACTGCATGTTCACACAGGACGATGTTCTGACTGTAATCCGCCGAGTGGATGAAAACTGGGCAGAAGGAATGTTGGCTGACAAGATAGGAATATTTCCAATCTCATATGTTGAGGTGAGTAAAGCTGGGCCCTGAGTAAGGTTGTGTGCACCATGTATTTCATTTTGTAGAAGCGAATTGCTGCAATTTATTTATAGCATTTCTAAAACAATGAGTACCGATTATCCTTATAAAACAACCAGAGATAAGTAATCTAAGACCTTAAATAATCTATGTGCTTAATTTGGGAATGTTCATGACCTCAACAGTTCAACTTTTGATTTTTACTTACCCATTTGATACCTGTTTCCATTGTATGGAATCAGAATGGAAGTACTTGGAGGCAGTCACTGTGTTTTCTTGTTAATACTTTGAGTCATCCGATCAGTCGCAAGCCACACTTACACACAAAATGGAAGCAGCCAGTAAGTCAGAGAAATAGTAAGCTTTGCACTGTCCCTGATACCTCGCCTCTCAAAAACCAAAAAGCGCAGCTACAAAGTAAGAGAGTATTGGCTATTGCTAAGCAAGTAAAGCAATGAATTTTACGTCCAATAGATGCTTAGGTAAAATCCTCTCTTTCTGCATTTCTGATACACGGTAACGACAGTTTACAGAGAGAAGCAGTCCTTGAGAAATAGTTTTCCCAAGGATTTAGTGTTTCATAGATGAAAACAGCTACTTTGTTTTCTATATAGAAATAAATAGGTGATTAAGAACAGTTTCTGCAACTGCAATAATATTGTCATTTGCATTACAGAAGGGTATAGAGGCTTGGAATAGGGTTTGCCTTTCCCCGAAAGGTACGCTATTGATACATGGTAAGATACAATTCTTGCACTGAAGAGATTTTGTTTAAATAAATGAGGCAGAGGGATGAAAGAAATAATTCCATGTTACAAGAAGGATGAGAAATATGTACCTGAGGTCACAGAAGAAAGGTGTAACCATACTAAGAGTTGAGCTAGGTCCTATGAATTCAATTTCTAAATATTCTGATGAGATAGGAATTTAACTAAAAAAAAAATACAAACCAACACAGAAAGCTCATTTGAAAAAGGAAAAAGTCTGTATTCATTTTTTTAGGTTGTTTTAAAGATCAGCAGATGTATATATTTGGAGAGATGAAATTGCACATGATTGGCCGGGGTGGGGGAAATGTTTCAACCTGCTAAGGGATATTCTGGCTTCAGTTTAAGAACTCTTTAAAAGCCAATTTGAGAAGTTCTCACCCCTGGCTATTCATTCCCAACTCCTTGCAATTAACTGCCCCTTCAGTTCAACCAATACAACGATTTGTGGTGCTTTTTAAAACTAGTTCACCCAACTTATCCAGGTTAGAAAAAGCTTCTTCCTTGTGCTGCCACTTGGGCAAGCTATTTAACTAACAACTCAGTTTCTTCTTCTATAGAAGTTTGGAAAATGGAGATTTCCTTTTGTAAACAATTCAAGTAAAAATGATACTCAGTCACAAAATATATTTCACTATTGAAGTTTTCAAATTCCATCAACTAAGAAAATGTACCTTTTAAGATTGTGCATAGCTTCCTGAATGGCTTCTCACATTAAAATGATTCGGGAAACTGAGAATGATAAATATGCCCAGGGAGATACTTTAGATCACATAGGTGATATTGTTATAGCATATACTGAACTGAAACATTGTGAGAAGTCAAACATGCAGAAAACTATCAGTTTTAACTTTGAAATTTGTATTTTCTGAGATTATGTAACAATTTTTATCTCCTTGAAAAGATGCAGCTGATACAAACAAAAGCATATTAAACCATTCTTAACTTGTATGTTGCTATTCTTGAAGATGCTGAAGACTAAAATGAATGCATGTTTTTGAGGTAATTTTGATATGGTATTACTAATCGTATTTCCAGGTCCTGTAATCATTGCCTTCTTTTGTCATAACGATGGAAGTATCCTTGCCTTATATGTATGTCAGTCTATATTCTTTTTTATTTTAATGTTCATTAGTAGCTGTATTTACTGGAAATGTTCTAAAGTCATTAACTTCAAAATGAGTGTAGTCTGTTATGCTTATTCTGTAGTATATATGTGTCTGATACTTCTGGTGTTTCTTGTACTATCAGGTGGCAGAATAAAATTGTAAATATGTTGAAGTCCATGAAGAACTTTATTTGATTATATTTGAGGAAAACGTTTTACCTGGAAAAACACTTTATGATTCAATATTTGCCAGTCTGCTATACTCCTTTATATAACTTGCATTTATTAAATATGTTGTAATAAAAAACTGGGACTGAAAACATATTGAGAGGTTTTTTAATAGTGATTATGTTAATGAAAATATGATTTGCTAACTGACTTATAAAACAATACACTTCTATCTGTAGTGACATGGCACTGTGAAATTATTGCGTCTCTCTGAAAATGAGAAATAATACAAAAAATTGCAAAAAAAAATAGTTCTATTCCCTAAGAAGGGAAAACACTGAAACCAGAAAAATGGTATTTTTAGAGTGTAAGCTTTTTGATATATCTAAATAATTATTACAGACTCCGACTCAACGTGCTTGTATTAAAAGCAGGCAAGCCAGGCTCTTGCACGAGTACGCATGGTGAGTCTAGAAGCAATATATTTAAGTTCATAACACTTATGTTTTCCTCTATTACAAAACATGAAGCTTAATCAGAACTAAACAGATGGAATCAGAGTTTTTGTAAATAGAATACAGTTGTGTGCAATATGCATTTCCTAGAAAGACCTCAAATTTGACTTTTTTTAATTGCTTCTTTATAAACACACATCTGCTCTCCAAATCCAAAAAGTATTTAAGTTACTACAAGTCATCTAATACTCTTACAGAACAACCAGAAAAATAGAAAAAACAAAACAAAAAAAAATTGGGGAAAGGAAATCACTTTTCAGTCAAGAGGAAGATAGAAAACAATGACGACTCTTGTTTTTCCCAGTTCACATGAACAACAGGCAAATATCTTTGTATTAGTCTATTTCCTCTAGCTTTATTTATAAACAATATTTTAGAAAGGCAGAAAACAAATACTCTACTAGCAATCTATTTACAGTGTTCATTAGAGTAGAATTTTAAGTTCATTGTTGTTAATACTATCATGTCCATCAGTTAATCTGACATTTTAGTGCATGAGAACTCAAGATCTTATACATCGGATGTGTCAAGTCCTTTTGTTTGGTACAGAAGACTAAGAGAGTGTTTCAAAATGTGTTTATCTTTAATTGTGTCTGTATATTTTAGCAAGGTTGGATTCCCAGCACAGTTTGTTTGTTATTGTTGCTTTTTTAACATTGTACTTACTACACTAAGCTTTCTGTCTGTTACTGTTAATGTGACCTAATTCAGTGCTTAGAAAAGTTGGTCTTTTGTAGTAATAATACTAAACTCAGAAGAATAGCATCAAGACTTTTATGGAAACTTTTTGGAAATTAATATTAACAGCAGCTTTGCTCATGATTGTGATCTGTTCAAGTGGTGTTTTGTTGGAATAAAATACTGCTTTGAAACTTTCCATGAGCTTAGTAGGTGTCTTAGGACATTTCCAGGGAAAAGAGGTAAAATAAATTGAAGAAGTAATATGCTGAAGATAGAAATAGTTCTTCTACAATAAGTAATTTCCTTCTTTCATTCTGATCTTTCTTCTGCAGAAAAGATTTTTCCCTTCTCTCTGGCTATAATTATCAGTATTATTAACAGTATTCATATTTAGTGGTATATATTGATACTAACACTAGTTAATTTGTTCAGAAGACTGATGCTGGTATTACTTCAGCTCATGAAAGAATGAAACTTTTCACTTATTTACAGTAGCGCTAAAATATGAATAAAATTTTCTGGAAATAATGATTTTGTGAAGAATGCAAATCATTTTTCTTTTTCTCTTATCTAAAGCTAAACAACTGTAAAAAGAAAATGTAGGATTCCATGTTTCTTTACTGTAGAGGAAAAAATTTACTTGCACTTAATGCAACATTGTTATAACAAACTAACAAATAGCAAAAGTTCATTATGAACAAATATTCATTAGATAGGCTTAAAGAAGAAAGATCCATTTTAGGGTCTTATACTTAAAGGTGTACAACCGCCGCATAAGAAAATTCAGCAACTACAGGTTGTTAGAAGATGAGAATTTATTTCCACAGAATTGTTAATATATGTTTCTTCTCTCATATTACTTTCCCGTACTTGTATAGCTGCTTGCTGTCGTGCAGTAAACATGTTGATTTAGATGGATCTTTAGTCTGTGCTACTATATTCTTAAGTCTGTATTTTGGAGACCTCTTTTTCACTACTGCTAGTGTTAGATAGGTGCAAAAATAGGTAAGGATACTAGGAGGAATGTTTTCAAGACCCCACATGCAAAGGTTGGGGTTTATGTTATGTTGCATTTAAAAACAAAGCCAAAAAGGCTTAAAATAAAATGAACATTCAAGGAGTTTTGTAATGCAGGCTTTTATATTGTAAGATCAGATGGGACTGCTGTGATTTACTCTGGCTTCTGGATGACCCAGGCTGAAGATACTGCTGAATTAATCCATGTTTGAACTAGAGCATAATGCCCTTTCTTGATTTAAATTTTTACCTCCGATGAGTAGTCCACCTACACCACCACTAAGTACGCTGAGGTTGTAGTGAAAGACCTGTCACTCTGATGGCTAATTTGTAGAGTGGATCAACATGTCACGATTTTTCATTGCAAGATTTTTAATTTAATCTTTATTATGAATAAAAGGAAAAGGAAAGCAGTGTTCTGTTATATTCAGGTGATTTTTGTGAGTAATACAAAAATACTAATTTTAATTTGTTGTTGTTGTTTTTTTTTTCCAGTTCAACACAGCAGCCAAGCAGCTGATAGAGTTGGATAAGCCCTCAGGCTCTGCTGTAGACTCTGGAGAAGGAACCTCTGGGGCAGCCCACAACAGTTCAGCCCAAAAGCACACTGATACTAAGAAAAACACCAAAAAGCGGCACTCTTTTACCTCCCTCACTATGTCCAACAAGTCTTCGCAGTCTTCTCAGAATCGCCATTCGATGGAAATTAGTCCTCCTGTCCTCATTAGCTCCAGTAACCCAACTGCAGCAGCCCGCATAAGTGAGCTGACAGGACTTTCCTGTAGTGCCCCTTCTCAGGTAATTTACCTGAAATTAAGTATAAATTATATAATTTTAAATAACTATGGAGGTTTCTCATTTCATCAGATATTTGCTCCAAATTATTAATTTTATCTAATTAATATTAACTTATGCTTTCAGATAGGCTAGGTTCCAAGGTAAGAGAATTTTAAGTAAAATTTTTTACAAAGCTCCTTATGAAATGATTGCAGATATTTTTGGCCTTGTAAATTTATTTTTTTTATAGTTATTAATTTCTTAAATGCCACAAAGATTGTTGCTAAACCATGGAAACCAGAAACTAGAGTAATTTAATTTCTTGATTGTCTTCTAAATTGAATATAATATTGAATATAAACAAACTACATGCAAATAAAAGGTAAATTGAACATGAAAATTATATGAATTTCCGATATGTTTTATTTACACATCTTTAGGATCTGACCCCCATTTATGGGGGGGATGGAACTTGACATTGGTAAAAGTGTGTTTCATGTTGCTGGTTTAATATTTGTCTTCAAAGTTTCTAAAATATCAGAAAAGCGAGCATATGAATCAGTACTTGTTGGCATGAATATCTAACAGAAGACAACTCCTATTCTAAAGTTATGATTAGCAGAGTGCTGGTGATTTTGACCAGGAACTGTACAGCTGTGTCATGAATAGCTTTTCTTACAAAGCTGCTCAAATTGATACCTTTTTTTTTCTTTTTCTTTCTTTTTTTTTTTTTTTTGGACAGGTTCATATTGGTACCACAGGGCTAATTGTGACTCCACCTCCTAGCAGCCCAGTTACAACAGGGCCTTCATTTACCTTCCCATCTGAAGTTACCTACCAAGCAGCTCTTGGTGTAAGTAGCATTCAAGAAAACTCAGCCTCCACATTTATTTTGTTTCTCCACAGTCACTTTCCTTTCTGGAGTTCTGATACACTTATTTGAAATGCTGGGTTTATTATGATTATATATGTGATACAACAGCATGCCTTGAACTATATCAAAAGCGTTATTGCCACACATAATAGCTTCTGTCCTGTGATGTGTATCCATCTCCCCAGCTATCCTATGTGGTTTCTGTGTAGCAAACATAAGAAGCATGCTTTCTTCAAGAACAGTGGTTCTTTACAGCGTGAGTCAGAGATTAAGCTGGGAAGGGGTGGGGGAAACAAGGACGCTCTTGCAAAAAATACCTTGAAACTTCAGCTGCCAGATATTTTTTGTCTTACTAAACTCAATATTAGCAGGGTGCTCTGAAGTAAGCTTCAAAACTCTGTATTTTACTTCTGATTAAACACACAGATTTTGGTTGTGTACACCCTCGTGGCAGATACAAAAAATAGGTGGCATGTCTAGGTTAAGATCTTGGAGATGGAAATGAAAACACTGCTGCAAATGGCCGTCTTTTGAAGGAAGGAGCATATTGCAGTGTTACCTTCCTTGGACAAAGAAACTGACCTTGTCTTCAAGAAATACCAGATTTCATTCCAAAAGCAACTAAAATTCTTTATTTTGCTATGATTGTGGTGGACCAGCTCTGGAATGTCCTGTATCCTACTGCAATTATCAGAGACTGGTTTTAGCTGCAGTAAAGAGTGTAGACACCAGTATTCATAGACCTCAAGGGAACTTTATGAACCTTTAGTTTGGTCATAACATTTCTCTGAATTTAATTCTTATTTCAAGTCCAAAAACTGTATTTCTGATCAGAGCCTATCTTTGTCTTTTGGGGGAGGCAGCTTTGAATTTGAAGGAAAAAAAAAAAAGTCTTACTCTTTTTGAGATGTCTAATTATCCTTACCATTTTTTAACACAGCTAAAACATGGTGAATAGCCTTGCTGCTGAACTTGTCTGGTTTTGTTTTCAGCTTTCAGCCCTTGGATCATTTTATGTCATCGTCTACAACACTGAAGAGCCTTCTATTATCAACTTTTTGTTCTTTAAGCAAAAATTTAGTTGTGACTTGGTCACAACTGACACCTTTCATTTTTGTTTTGAGCCTATTTTTTTGGACTCTTAAGATACTGTTTTCAATCCTTTGCATTACTCTGTTGTTTTCTGAATCATCTTCATTATTATTTTCTCTCTTGACAAGCATTCCAGAACTGATTACAGTACTTCACAGTCATTTTCAGTAAAAATATTGCTAGTATGACCCTTCAACCTTTATCCTCTTAGGCTGATGTTTGTATCTTGAGAATTTGCTCGCATTTATTCGTTTGGCCTGAGTGAAGCATTGCAAGTTTATGTTCAGCTAAATATCCACCACGATCCCACGATATGTCATGATGATCACGTTGTCGTTAGTGACTCATCCAAATAGATGTGTTGCATGTTTTTTGTTCCTCAGATAAATGACCTTGTTATTGACAATTATACACACAGTATGCTTGTGCCCTGCTTTACTGAGTAGCCCAGGTTGCTCTGTGGCAATGCTTTTCGTCCTTTTATTGTTTATCACTCCTTCAACCTGTGGACCATCTGTGCAATCCTGCTGTTAAAGAATGCTAATCTGGAACCAGCTAGTAATCTCCTTATACATATAGATTGCTATTTGCTTGCATATGAGGTGTATGCCTAATACTAGAATCAGCTAGCTGCTTACATACAAACCTGCATAATCTTTTAGATTTCTTTCATCCTGTTCTTCAAGAAAAATTCCTGCACACACTGAAAAGTAAATCTTTGTGTCAATATGGTTTTTGCTGTCAAGGAAAATATGAGTCTAGTTAATGTATATGCTGCAAATATCCAGCAAGAAATTTGATTTGTGGCTGAGCATATTCAGTCTTGGAGAGGATGGGGTAGGCATGTTTCAAAGTATGATTTCAAAAGTTCTATCAGAGGTTGCTTCCCTCTTCCCCTCAGCCACCCCATGACTAACATTTTTCTTTGTTATTAAAAATCAGCCATTCTTTCTTTGATTCCCAACATGGGAAAATACTTTATTTTGGCATTGGTGCAAAGTTACTAAGCAACCTTGGGTGCTTTAGCTGCATAAGTTTGTTCAAAAAAGATCTCACCATCAGTACCCATAGGAATTAAATTACAGTGCTAAATGCAACATGGAGTGAAACTCCTGGCTCATGATTGTCCTGTATCCTGTAGTGATACTTTCCCTCTGTGATAACCAGGTTCCTGGTTAAGTTTCCAGTTAGGCATATAATTCCCACTGAGAATCTGAATTATTCTCTGCCGCCCTCTTTGAGCTGCTGTATTTTAAAAGTCAATAACGTTCTGTACATAATGTTCAGTTTCTTCTTGACTTGTAGTCAGCATGGCTAAAATACAAGCTGGCAGCACAGCCTATAGTCAGGTAGTTCCTGTGTTCTTTTACTATAGATGATATTAGATGATGCAATTTGTTGTTACAGACTGTGAAGTGTGCTTTTATTTCCACTTTTCCCCTTGGTTCGTAAATTCCTGTTTTAATTTTGGGAGTCTGCGGAACAGTTCTGATAGGTCAAGATAGCAAAGGGTATTCATGTTTTTCTGGATTTGCCGCTCTGGAAAGATCCTCCCTGACATTCTGAACAATAATTTTAAGCTACAGAACATTTGTGACTGTACAATGTAATAGCTCAGTTGGCTTGAGTCCTTTTGTTTCTGTATTTTTTTGCATTTGTAAGTATAAACTATTGCATTTCTCTAAGCTTCTCCCTTTAGCATTTCTCTTCATTTCTGAATACTGTGCAAATGGCAAGGGAGCTAGAATGGAACAGGGAGAGTTTCTTCTAACCATGAAGATGTTTTAATTGGATCTTCTTCCTATTGCTTATTTTAGGTGTTTATAACCCTATTTGACTGATTTTTATGAGGGCAAACCATTTGATACAACTTCTTTTACTTCGCACCAAACCTCAACTAAGAGAAAAAGCAAGAATTAGAGCATGAGCATGATTCCTAACTGATGAAGAACAGAAGGATATTTTCCTCTACAGTAATCCTGAATTTATGCATCTTTGCTATTTTCCCAGATCTATAAATGAAGAAAAGGTGCTGTGTTGTGTTACCCTCTGTAAGAAATAAGGCTTTTTTCATTTTTAAGAGGAGATACTTTGACCTTTCTTGTTTGGAAAGTAAGTCCCTCTAAGACAGTGGAGATGAATTCCTAGCTCTAAGGAGCCTGTGAGTCTGTTATCTGTGTACACGTATGGGACCATATTTCAGTTGAGTTACTTTTGTTATTTTTAGGAAACAGTACAGTTGTTCAAGAGATGACAATTTTATTCAATTTATTTTGTCCATAATAGTATTTTGTAGATGCTGTTTCATACCAAAAGTTGTATGAGGTAAGGAATTTGCAACTTCAGGACTGAGTTGAGACAATTAGAAATGAGAACGCTTTGTCAGATGATCATCATGTACCTTACCTATTGCTTGTCTTAGAGGCAAAATTTAGCTTGCATTCAGGAATCTTACGATAATTTATTTAAAAGTTTTGTTTTATAACAGCAAACTAGATCTTTAGCAGCAGCATTAATGAGTCTGACTTCTTTTGGGTTTTGAGGTTTGCTTCTTTGAGATGGAAGTAGCTATATACTGAGACAAAGTTGGCTGTGATAATGTCACTTGTGAGGTTCTCTGGAACTTCACACTTCACTTTTGTCCTTGGGGGCATTAATTGGTCTTCTTTTCTTGGCCACTGGCATTTCTGAACTTGCAGGTGCTTAGTACATTTGAAGTTCTTAAAATGTAAGTAGCAGATAGCAAGTAGAACAGTTATTGGGGGAAAGTATGCACACACAATTATGTCAGCCTCATTTACTTGAGAGGAAATTCTTGGGTGTAGTTTATAAGGCAGTTATCTAATGGAGGAGGTCTAGTTGCCATAGATTCTGCTGAAAAGAATCTTAAAGGAAATATATATTTTGAACTGTGCTAAGAAAAAGAAAGAGAGAAGAAATATACCACAACACAGTTAGATTTCCGTTCAGAAGTTGTAGAGGAAGAAAAATAGGTAAGTTATCTGTTGTTACATTCTTACTTAAATTCTGCCTTTATGTTCTCTTATGAAGTTAAAAATATTTTGGACAATGATTGACTGAGAGTGTCCATGTTGCTACATTTTAAGATTGAATTTGTTGACTTTGAAATGGTATCATAATATGCGTGCCTTTTCGCGGAAATAGGTGCTCTGTATTTGGACAGTTTCCATTCACTGACATGTTGAAGGCTTCCAAAACTAAAAATACCTGTTTGTTCTGGTCTTGTTTTCCCTCTGACATAGAAGAAAAAATATCGTCCTTGTATGTTTAAGTATATAAGGAAGTCTGAAGTATTAGTAATGAGGCATAAATGATGACATTTAGGTCTCTTTCATGTGGTTCCAGCTGATTCAATAGCGTGAGTGAGTCAGGAGGAAGATTAAATGAGAACTAACTGAATTGTAACCAACAAAAATTTAAGGTAATTTTGGTGGGTAAGAGGAAGCAGTTGAAAGAAGTGACGAGTTTTTGTATCAGAGGCCTCCTCTTCGTAACATACGTTTATAGTTTAAGAATTTTGTTGAACACGAGTCTTAATTTGTTAGCCCTTGGGGGATGGTGCAAGCCATATGTTTTCCCTAGGTGTTGTGGGAGGAAAGACAGTTAATTAATGTTGTGGGTTACCCCCCCAGCACACTGCTGTGCCTTTTGTTATTCTTGGGGTAAGCTGATTATTGATCTTCAGTTGACTAATATGGGAACGCAGCCTGCATTTAACTTGAAAAATATATATGAGTTTAGAGAGTATGGGTACAGCTGCTAGTTGAAGGTTTTTACATATATAGATGAAACGTTACACAGTTTGACTACTTAACTTATTTTTTTAATTGAAAAACTATCACTTATTTCAGAAACTTGCTTAATATATGCTGTTTTATATGCTTGAGAGTACATTTTCTGGCTAAAGCATAGTTGCGAGAAATTTGCATTTTGCCCCCTCAATTGCATTAAATAAAAATACTCTTAAAATTATTTTAATAAACATATTTTATTGAGTATGTGGGGCTTGCATTTTTTCAAATACATATAAGTTGAATACAGGATAAATCAAAACTGGCTTTTGCGGTAGAGGTAGATTTGTTTCTTAGTATCTACGAAAATGGCTACATGCCAGGGTTCCTGAAAACTTGGCTAAAGCTTTTTGGAACTATTTTATTAAGTTGTAGCAGTGCAAGCTGAGGAGCACTTGTCCCCTAAAGCCTATCAGGTAGTTTGTTCAGATTTCTGAGCACTTGCCAAATCTTTAGAAGTTTAATTGGGCTGCTGCACACTGCAGGTTTCATTACCATAGTAATAGACACTGGGAGGGGAGCAGAACCTGAATAGAGCAGGTGCCTTATGGCAGCTAAGACTTCTAGTTATACTACGTGTTCGCATGAATAAAATACAACGTCCACTCTTCGGCAGTGCTGAAAGTGTGAAATGGTGACACCTTGATAACCGTGCATGAATAGGTTTAATTTTGAAGATTTCCACCTAATTGTCTCCCAATGAGAATTTACAAGTTCCACCATGTATGAAGTATCTAGATACCTACAAAAAGGGTTTGAATTTATATTCTAAAGACCAGTTGCCAAAAAGTTAGATGTTTGCATTCAGCTTGTATTCATCTAAGCTAATTGGGAGAGGAGAGTAATTTCTTCTATAAAGCTATTGAAACAGAAATCTTACTATTTCACTATAGAATATCAAGATATTTTTTAAATGTTGTTTGATGTATGGGGGTTTAGAATCTAAAACAAATGTAATGCAGTTCTTATAAGTAACCAAGTTATTAGTATCAAAAGGACACAGTTACATTTCTTCAGCAGGTCATGTCTGCTTGTGTTTGATACGGTTGGCCTCTTTGGTGAGGAAGTCTTACATATGAGCAGAATATTTTTTAATAAAATATTCATATTTCACAATTTACCTTGCTACTGATGTCATAAGCGTAAGAATTTGGACTGTCTCTAATAGTAATATAGTTTCAGTCAGCTTTCTCTAGATTTCAAGGCTTTAATCATGCAGCTCTTTAATCTGTCTTGACAGTATAAGATTAGTTCAGAGCTGTGTCTTTGTTAGCACTGTCACCAAAGGCAGTGATGTAGTAATCCTACAGTGTAGGACTAGAATGTATTTTGTTTATAAATTTTTGTTTAGAAAAGCAAGGAAAGAAGTGCATAACTGTGCTGTTTTGGGTGAGGGGAATATAATTGAAAATCATTGTAATTCCAAAGTCATAATGTGGTGCTGGTGCTCTACATTTGTATGCAGCTGTATTGGAAGAGCCGGGCAGTACTTAAGTACATTTTGTCAATTTGTATTTTTGTTATGGAGTTTTTAAATCTTAAGTGAACAGTGGCATTGTTCAGATTTTTTTCTTTCAGAATTAAAGGATTGCTTTACATCAAAGGCCATATATGAAACAAATTAATTCTGCTTTACATTCTGAAATGTTTTGAGTTATTTTTTGTAAGTACTCACTTTTTGTGTGTTATAACTCAAAGAATTATTTTTGGAAAGGGGGAAGAGAAAGCTCTCCTTTTATGAGAAACTTTTCCCAGGAGTGTCAGTACACAAGGTCCTAAAGAATTGTCTGTGCCTTTATAAAGCAGAAGGTAACAATTGCTCCATTGATTTTCAAAAAGCATAGTAGAATCCTGTAGGCAGAACCCCCATTAGGATCTGCCTGTAAAGGAACTGTGCCTTTTTACTAGAGTGTTTGTTAAAGATTACCCGTCTTGATAATACTGAATTTCAAAAGCTAACGCTTTAAACTAGAAGAATAGGCAAAAGTGGTAACAATAGCACAGTGACTGTGGTCTCATATTGTGCTTATTGTTGTAACCTATACATCAAAGGGAATTTTCCTCCAGAAAGGGTGGTTTTGGGTGCGCTGCTGCTGAATTGTACATTATGTTTCAGCTTCAGCTTACAAAAACAATCGTGTTTTGAAGTACACTCAGTAGTAGGATGTAAAATCTACCTCCTGGAAGGCTTATGAATTTTTGTCAAGTCCTCTCCTAAAAATGTTATAATTAGAAACAATGCATTCCATTTCTCCTGTGCTGAGAAATTGCTCGTCATTTGCTTAATTAGCTCCCAAGACTTCAAGATTTTAAACTGGAAAAAAGAGAAATACAGAAAAGCCTAACTCTCTAGTTATATCTTACGAATAGGTAATGGAACTCTGAATTCAGCTATGCTTCTCATTTTCTTAGCGTATTGCCTTTTTTTTTTTTTTTTTGCAGTTGATTCGATTCATCAAACAATATTGATCATCTATTGCTATTTTTTTTTCCTTATTATATCAGAATACGAATCCCCCTCTTCCACCGCCACCACCTCTCTTGTCTGCCGCAATCATTGCATCAGCGTCTTCGGGACCTCCATCTGCAGGTGTAATACAAAGGCCTACATCAGGATCAGCTGACCAAATGGCACATTTACGACCCCAGAGTCGACCAAGTGTGTAAGTAAAATTGAAACTTGTTGCCAGTTAAAGAAGTGGAATGAGTTCAATAACTGTGTGTGTACTTATTTCTTGCCAGCTGGCTTATGTTCTGCTAGAATTCCAGAAAGCCATGCACATAATGAGGAACAAAAGCAACAAAACACACATAAAGGTGATATCCCCAAACAGCCTTCTTGCTGAGGGCTATTTATGGCGTAGGTAAATATAATCAGATGTTGCTGTATATTGAAAGGACTTATTTCAAACATGCAAAGTATTTATCATGCAGAAGATGAATGAATCCTTGAGTTAGGAATGAAGACAATGTACTTGCAAGCAGCAAGCCCTGGAGTGAATTTATCCAATGTTTTCTGTTATGAATGGAATGAAAAGGCTATTCTCATGTGGAATAGCTTATGCCAAAACACAGCAAATGCTGTATATCATTTAGACTGTTATATTAGCATGTCATTGTCAGGCTGCTTATGCAAGTTGCGAGTGAAATTTGATTGAGGATTCTACAGTTTCGTTAATTAGTGGGTGGCAATTTGGAAATGAAGGCAGAAAACTGCTAGTTAGTGTTATGTCTTCACACTTGTAATACAAGCAAATGTGCTTCATCCTTCTGGGTGAAAATATTTTGTATATTAACATGTGCTGCTGACAGCGTCTTTCTTCTTGGAAACTTCTTTGTGTAAAATTTGCAGAAGAAGAAAGATAAAAGAAAAAATAAAATTCAGGAATAGTTGAACCATCTAATAAGACATCTGAATAATGCAAGGACCACTTTTGTTCTGTGTCTTTATTTTATCTTCCCACCAGGTTTCCTCCCACTCCAAAAGAATGCTTTTCTTATGTAGCAGGTGCATCTGGGTTTGGGATATTTCTTTGGCATCAAGCATTTTAACAGTTTCTTATAGACTGCTGTGCTTAATACAGTTAATCAGGTTCCCATCTCATGTATTCCTGTTCTCTGTCTTCAAAGTGTTGCTCTATATGAGGATACTAAGGAAATTTAGACTGATTTAACTAAAAGGGAAGTTAATGAACACCAATTAAAGTACATTAGCTGCTTTCACAGACAGCTTTACTGTGCCGTTTTATAGATCGTCCCTAAATCTTGTGCCAGTGAAGCCTCTTCTCCAGTGTGTCATATGTTTCCTACTGAATTACCTTGAAATCACCCAAAGTTCTTAGGTGGACAGCAAAGAACAAAGATCATTAGATCTTCAAAAAAGAGAAGCGTACAGTTAATGCTGCCTTTACTGTGCAAAACAGACAATTTGGCTTGGAAAACACTTTGTAAAGCCTTCTTTTTATTCTTGGGGTAACAAGGGGAATGGAAAGACAAGCAGTGCAAGTAATTGTGGATTGTTTTTCAAAAAAGGGGGCTAGTTTACTCAGCAGCCACCCTAATTGGCTGCCTCTGGTGAAAAGTATATTATCTTTGAGAAAATGTGATTTATTAAGAGTATGTAACTGCCAATAGGTCTGAATCAGTACAAGTATAAACTTAAAGGTTTAAATAGTTTTATGTTTAACTTGTGGCAGAAAACAGAACACTGTAGTGGTAAAACAGCGTCTCTTTTTAATGCGATAATAGGAAATTTTGCAGTTACAAAACTTCCAGCATGCAATGGCAGGAGCATCACTTCTGTAAATATATATATTTTTAAGACATTAAAAAATGTTAAAATATCTTTTTTTTAAAAAGTGAAAGTTTATCAACCCTTCCTATTGTTTCTGACACACCATATCGTGCTTTTCCGTATTGTTGCTTAGGAGAGAAAAAGGAAATAGGCTTTAAAACTTGAACAACTGCTAGCTACGTCACCCATTAACTTCAAGTTCCAGTAACATATCTTTTTCTAGCACTACAGAGAAATTGCAGTTGCAGGGAATCTGCAGGAATCAGGGAGATGCAAGGAATCAGGGACCACAGGGAGATTCCAATGTTTGCAGTGTGAAAACTATTACTAATCGTGATCTTTCAGTCACAACTATCAGTACTCCCTGAAAAAGAAGTTGACGTGTCCCGAGGTGGAAGAGATACTACAAAGAAGCATACTGAGAGAAAAGTGGGAAATGATGGGATAACTAGTCAATAAACACTTATTCAATTCATTAACTTAGTTAAGAAAATGAATGATCTTATTAGAAGTATTGAATGTTAAAGCACAGTTGGGAATATATTCTTAACAATTGTTGTTTCCCTTGACATTACCATAACTTCTGTTTTAATATTATAACGGTATGATTGATCAGCAAACATGCAACCCTTTCTGCCGTGCCTTGTCATCTCTTACTCTAGGCTCTCTCTCTCAACTAGAAAACACCAGTGATGGTTTTTAATTGTTTTGGGTTTAACAATTACATATATTGAAAATCATCTACTTTCTTCTCTTTTAGATACATTGCTATATATCCATACACTCCTCGAAAAGATGATGAACTGGAACTGCGGAAGGGAGAAATGTTCTTAGTGTTTGAACGCTGCCAAGATGGCTGGTTCAAAGGAACTTCCATGCATACAAGCAAGATTGGTGTTTTTCCTGGCAATTATGTGGCTCCAGTTACAAGGTATATTTTTATACAGGCGTCTAAATAGTCTACCTAATTTCAAGTCCAAAGCTATTCTGGTTTATACTTAATCCTAAAACGAGATAATAGAAGAGCTATAGGTTTTAGTAACTAGCTCATTTTTCAATTGTGTTTCAGTTTTTTATTTTTAATTTTGGCAGGACAGTGACAAGTGCATCCCAAACGAAAGTTCCCATGTCTACTGCTGGCCAAACAGGACGAGTGGTAACTATGGTCAGCCCTTCCACTGCTAGTGGAACATCTCAGAAGCTCCAGGGGAATGGTGTGGCAGCGAACTCCAGCACAGTACCCACAGCTGTGGTTTCTGCAGCACATATCCAAACCAGTCCACAAACCAAGGTCCTTGTGCACATGACAGGACAAATGACAGTCAACCAAGCTCGCAATGCTGTTAGAACAGGTAATAATTAAATTAAAAATTAAAAAAAAAAAAA